GTTGTGAATATGAGGCTTGGATTCATAGCATTACACATGTCTGTGACTATATTATTTCTGGTTATACAACAATGTGAATGTATCTGTAGACTGAGTGCACAGTTGCATACATCTAACTGTGTGATTTCCCTACATTTACTTAACATTGGGTCTTTCTAAACAATTTTGTGCAGGATTGGCAATTCATCATACCGAAGGAACAGGCCGGTCCTGAAAATTTTTAGGTCCTAGGCGATAAGTTATTATGAGACCCTTACACATAATTTTTTTATAAACATATTGGTATCAAACATGGCTGAATCAAATAGTTTCTCATGATAAGAAATATTATACCTTTGATACTCATCATTTGATTGGATCGAGAAGCAATTTTCGTTTTCAAAAAATATAATATAAATATTTTATGAAAATCAGTGAGGTATGAGGATGGTGCCTACTATTTATTATCAAAAATATCTTATATTTAAAAAAAAAATCAAAAGCAACCATAAATCGAAAGATGTTATTTGTAGAAAGGCCCCTACTTTATTTGCACTACCATAAGAAAATTGAGGAAATTCCATAATAGTTATTTTTAGGCTTTGGAAAACTTTTTGAGGCCCCATTTCAGCTTGAGGCCCAAGGCCACTGCCTTGGTGGCTTTGGGCTAGAACCGGCCCTGCGAAGAAACGATGGTTCCCAGATAAGATTACAACATCGGTCAACAAGGGTGTGCTTTCAAGTATTCAAGCAAAATTATCTGACCGACGGAAGCTCATTATGAGGGGAACATGCTTTGCCCATTATCTTGACTGCCATGAAATTGTGGTACAACCGCAATTAATTTATTACTTCCTCTTGCGGCAAGTCCATCAACCTAATCCTGAAGAGATGTGGTTTTTAGTTGCTGGGCGTTATGTAAAATTCTCTATATCTGAGTTTTGCATAGTCACGGGACTGAGATGTTATGGCGATAGTGACACGGGCATTTTCGAAAGTAGACCGTCACAACTGAAGAAAAAGTACTTTTCTCAAGTGGATACCATGACACATGAAGATGTGAAATCCACATTCATATCTACTTGCCAAATACATGATCTGGATCTTGTTGAAACTCTCCTGAAAATGATGTTGCACTCATTGGTATCCTGTACTTCATTACTGCATACTTATTTCCTAGAGATTATAAGAAAGTGGTCGACCATTACTTGTTCACCCTTGTTGAGAACTTTCCTGCGCTGAACAGTTTCCCATGGGGAAAGTTACTGTTTGAGATTACATTGAGTTCTTTGAAAGATGCTTTGAGTCGACAAACCGCATACTATATGCTACGAGATATGTTGGTAGCCTTTCAAGCATGGATCTACGAAACCTTCCCTGACCTAGATGAAGTTATTATCATGCCTTTGGTAATGGACATTGGTGTTAGATAGGCTCACATTACAGATGATGATGATGATTTCGTGGATCCTCCACGACGATGTGAGGTGACATCCCATCGGAAACACCCCGTGTTGATGAAGGCCCTTCAGGTCCCCAACATTCTCCAAACGAAGAACAACATCATGGGATGCAAGGGAGTGTTGTAAGATTCTATTCATGGCTATTCAAATGTTTTCAAATTGTGGTCACAATTCACTTAGTACAGGTCACAGTTCCTTTCTTTTGGTCACAAGCATGTTTTTGAAGGTCATATGTAACTATTTATCTTAATCATGCTTCAAATTATGGTCACAATTCACTTAGTGTAGGTCACAGTTCCTGTCTTTTGGTCACAGGCATGTTTTTAAAGGTCACATGTAACTATTTATCTTAATCATGCTTACAGGTGCTTTACGACTTGAATGTGCAAATATCAGAACTTAAGTCACAAAATAAAGTATTAACCATGGAGATGGACGCCATCAAGTCATAGATGTCGAGCCTCATCTCTGATCAGGCAAAAAAGATAACTGAAATCATCCTAATGCAAAGACAGTTAAAACGTGACATGATCGAGATTAGGACGAACATGTAATTCTTGCCTGAATCCGTGACTGCAATGTTCTCAAGCTCAATGGATGAGATTTTAAGGTGATTCAATGACAGTAAAGGTTGTCCAGCTAATGAGTACGAAGAAACGGAAGCTGCTGTTGTTGGAGGTGAAGAAAGTCATGTTGTCAGAGGATTCGAGAATATCGACGAGGTAGGTATATGATATGTTCAATCTATCTTTCACTAACCATAGTTACGATTTTCATGTCTCTAATTCTCCAATTTCACATACAGGCGGAAAAACTGCAACCTGTTGTCGACAAGAAAGGGAAGGGAAAGGTCGACCCAACTGACGATGTTGCCTTTTCATGTAATCTTCAACCACCATCATTTGACCTGGGCATTGGATACACACAACTGGATGATTTGCAGTCTGCAGAAATTCAGAAGCAGGTAGATGCGATCATAGCTGATGTGATCACAGTATCCAAAAATGTTGACGAAGAGGTATTCAAATTATGTTTTTTTGGTATAATCTGCTAGTTACACAATATGTACATCGAATTTATACAAACTAAATGTAACCTTTTACAATTTACAAGGATTACCAACTACTAAACCAACTTCTGAATTACCATTTAAGTGGCTTTCAAGGCCTGCGAGGATACTGTGGTCTCCATTTGTTGCCGGGGAAGGAAAGGTATCGTGGCATGACGGTAATGTTATTGTATTTGGAAATTATAAAAACCATGTTGAAGAAGCTAATAAATCAGCAATCTTGGGTTGGTTTCAAAAAGGATATAAACCCAAAAATAGGCATGTACATTTTTCTTACATTTTCAAATACACTACTCACACAGTTACAGTATTTTGATAGTCAATTTGTGTCAACAGGAAAAAGTTTAATGAGCACAATGACCAAATCAAACTAGCCTTTAGTATTGGCTTATACCCAATCGGTCACAAGATATGGTTGCACCAGCTGATAGATGCTGAAACGTCTTTGAGTGGTTCAGTATGGTAACACTTGTGTATCTGTTCACAACATATTTCCTTGTTAACCAGTTACACAACATTAAGAACCTCATACCACATCATGGACATACCGTTAAGCTGCCCATTGTCATAGAGTCATAACCTTTTAATGTTGTATCTAATTGTGTGTTTTATGTTCAAATAGCACATGGATGCATGCTTCTACTACATTCCACAGGTAGCAAAATTTGGGAAAGTAAAGTTTAGAGCTACAACGACGGACTCTTGGTTCCAGAACAAGATAAAAGATATATTTCCCACTTTCCAAAAAGATCCTCACGTTCTGTTGTCGAATAATAGCTTTATTAAGGCTGTCACAGGTCACGTGATATCCCTGAGCACATCTTAAGTCGATGTAGACTATGTGTTCATGCCACTCCTGCCCACGAACAAAGCTCATTGGATGCTAGATCTGGTTGAATTTAGGAGCCATACTTTGATACTGTTCAATTCAGCTGGAAAAACTTATCATGATTGGAAGGTGCTGGAAGGTATTGAGCCTTATGTGAAGGTATTGCCTGCTCTTATGAAGGCGTTGGGAATTTCAAAAAAAGACCCTGATTATAACGAATCTGAATGCAATCAAATGAAGGTGACCATTGACAGTACCCTGCTTCAGCAGACGAATGGATAAGTATGTGACCAAGACTATGCGTATAACTTGTAAACTAATTAATTCATAACATACCATATTGTGTTCTTTTACAGTCATGATTGCGGGGTGTTCGTGATATTGTATTCATTGTATATCCTCCGTGATGGAAGATGTTCTATTCCCCATCAATTCGATACTGCAAAATATAGACTTGATATCGCCTCGCTACTCTACAAACACTGAGAACCTTACGTGAAGAAGGCGAAGCAGACTTTTAAAGGAGAGGGGATTGTTATAGAATGACAAATATGAAAACATTTGAAAATGAATTTTATGCTTCAGTTGGTAACCGTTTAAATTTCTTTCAAGCAGTGGAGGTGTTTGTACTCAATACTGTCATGTGGATGTGAATATTCTTTTGCAATACATCAGTGCCCCAACTTTCAGTTGTCAATATTTTGTTATTTTGGATACACAATTGTGCTTTTGGTCACAGATTTATTTCACAATGCTGTGTGTAAATAACAGGTCACGTATCATATGTACCAAGTCACAGATTTAGTATTGCTTTTGGTCAAAGTCTCAATTTGACATGAAATATGTCAATAACAGGTCACATATCATATGCATAGTAGATCACAGATTTAGCACTCATAACATATCATGCCAAGATCAGATCACAGGTCTAATTGTACACCAAAAATTAGGTCACAATTCATGTTATGTTGTAGTTGTGATTTTGGTCACATAGTTGTGCTTTTCGTCACAGTTGTTATTTGTCATGCCATGTGTAAAAAACAGGTCGCATATCATACATGTATTTGGTCACAGATTTGGTGGTGCCTTTGGTCACATTTTTAGTTTGCCATGACATATGTCAACAACAGGTCACATACCATATGTATAGCAGATCACAGATTTAGCACTCATAACATATCATGCCAAGAATTGATCACAATTCATCTTATTTATTGAATTTGTGAATGGATAGATATTTGTTCTCCACCATGTTCAGGTCACGGTTAATTTTTCCAAGTTTCTACACCACGTTAAGTTCACAGTTCATGCCTTTAATTGAATTAATGGTCACAATTCAAACATATTGTTGTGTATGGAATCCATAATCCTCAATTGACATAATTCTCCGTTAAACTGAATAAAAAGTGCGATATATTTCAGTGAGCATTTATTGCTTTACTTTTTCAACATCATTTGTCAATTGATCAATTGAAACACATTTAGTTACAAATGATCTCAATGTCAGTATGCTAATAACAATTTGACTTCAAGAACGCGATCTAACTTTGATAAGTCTTCATCATGTTATTGACTTTCTATTATAGGTTGGTATTTCGTCAATCGTTCTTACTTAATGGAACCAAACTTGAGTATCTCCTGTGGTTGTGACCATGTGCACCACAACGTCCACATCTTACTTTTGGTTTTCCCTTCCCTAGATGATCTCTTCCTCTTCTCAGTTGTCTTCTAGAACTCTGCTTCTGGTTAGGAGCTAAAACAATTTGAAATTCTACTTCAATGGGCACTCTCCATTCATCTGGATTTCCAACAAGATATATCGAACTTTCGTAAGCATTTACATATGCATCCCTTGTATAATAATAAGAACAGTAAGTATATGGATCCCTTTTCGTATGTGCAATTACAACCAATGCATGTGGACACAGCATCAGATCGACCTGCAGCATCTTGCAAGTGCATGTACGTTGCTCAATGTCAACAACAAAGGTGGACCTTTCATCGCTCACGGAAAACACTGTTTGGTTGGAAGGAAATACCCATAAGAGTGTAGTAGCACCAATGGTATATGTCAGTTTAAAGTAAAAAAGAATAGGTCACAGACATTCATATTTCAGTGCACAATGACATGTTCAAGTCACGGGACTTCATTCATGGGTGTCACATACAATCCATTCAGGTTACAGGTTTAGCATTAGCAGACAAAGTATATAGCACCATAAACAAAGTATGTAGTGTCACAAACATAAATTGCTGGTCACGTGCAATTATAATTTGGACACATAATCACAGACATACATTCCATGTCTCGGACACCTATGATATAATCACATGCATAATTCAATTTAGGCCACATACACAAACTTCAGGATGCATAAGAAAGTTACCTCAAGTTCCTTAGTTCTGAACTCATTCTCCTCATGACGTTCTCGAACTTGTATGTCAACATCATGAAAGTTTCATGCGCTTCATCTCTATGTTTACAGAACCAATTTTGTACTATTTATCGCAATGACTCCAGCAGGAATACAATGGGGTAATTCTTAGCTGCCTTTGTGACTGCATTTACTGATTCTACAATGTTTGATATCATTGTAGAGTGTCTGTTTGCCGGCATATGTATTCATGACCAGTTTTCAGGGCCTACTTCATCCTGCCAAAAGATATCGTATTATGAGTATAGTATAAAAAGATATATGTGACCACTTCACTGCATGTGACAATGGAGTGCTATAGTCAGTACAGTACCAGGTAATCACAAATCTTCCCATTCATCGCGTCCAGTTGTTGCATGTTGTATTCAAATTCTTCTAATGTGTAAGTGCGGATAGCCGAAGTGAACATCTGCGTAATATTTTACCCTGATTTTCCATAATATGATTTTAGATTCTGCAGCAAATGGTACAAGCAGATACCATGGTAACTTCCTGGATACACCTATTATATTGCTTTCTTTATACTGCCATGATGATCTGATACAAAATACATCTTTCTCTGTACCCATATGCATTTTTTATTTTCTCCAAAAACCATCTCTAAGATTTGTCGTTCTTATTATCCCCTACTCTAAAAGCAAGAACAAATATGCCATTATTGCATCCTGTGTACATGTTATGAATAGGGTACCTCCATAATGACCATTCAAATAAGTACCCGTCGACGACAATTATGGGCCTATAATGTTGCCACCAATGTATTGATGCACCAAGTGCCATAAAACAATACTTGAACCTATTGTGACTATCAACCTTCAACTCTGTAACCGTACCAGGATTTCTTTATCGTAACATGTAGAAAAAACTTGATATCCTACCGAATGATTTCGTAGGATCACCCCTAATCATTTTTAATGTTTGTTCACGGGATCTCCAAGCTTTTGAGTAATTCAAATATACTCCAAAAGTATATAACATGTCGCTGCATATGTCCTTTGGTGTGTATATGGTGCCAGCTGATGTGTACTTGTACTTGATGCTAGATGAAACAATTGCAGCTGATACTTGTCTATGTGACCCCAACACCACATTTGATGCACATGTGTGACTACCAATCTTTCGAATCTTAAATAGATTCATTTTACCCCCATTTCGACGATCAACATATCCAAGTACATCCTTCTTGAGAACACCTCGCCACATATTCTTTCTTGTCGGATCGTTTAACCATAAACTCAAAAATGTTTCTTATGGCAAAAAAGGATATGCTCAAATTTTAAAATATCCTTATTACGAAAAATCCTTCCTTCTTCGACCTTACTAGCATCTGCTATAGAAACAATCGTGACTTCACCGTCACAAATGTTACCTAAATGTTCACTTGATGCTTTGTGAATATCTACAGCCACATCCTGCAATGTATAAAGCTCTATGTTATGATAAGCATTATTTGTGATCACATCTGATGAGTAATCTATTGTTGCATCGGTTATGTCAATGAGTAATGGGTATTTAGCAAGATCACAATCGACTTCTTTTAGCAAAATGTGTGCAAGCACGTTGTTGTCATTTTTTATCCTGATTATAGGCAAATCATCGTTCAATACATACTTCAATGATACTGCTACCTTCGTCGGATCCAAGCTGAACTCTAACATAATCATGTTCACAACGTTTACATAATTGCATCCATGGTCTACCAACGCCAACACTGACTGAGATCCATACAACAAACTTACATGCAAGTACACCATTTCCACAAAATTGAATTTCGAATCCTCACATTCTCGATGGTTAATTTATACAGTTTTATATAAGAATTTATGCAATAACAGGAAGTCACGTATGACATTCAAAAAAGCAGGTCACATTTGGCGACACACAGATCACATCTCGTGAACAAAATTGGTTTCAGTTCTTTTTTCAATTCGCTTACACGTACACATATGTGTATGGATACTGTTGTGTCGTATGACCACATTTTGGTCAAATATCGGAATAGGTCACACACAAGTACGATCAATGCCAATATAACATATCTTAGAGATAATCGAAAACAAATGGAGATCATATTTTTAGCACATAGGTCACATTTAATCATCCACAATGAATCCTCTGTTTCTTCGTCTTCCAGCGTAAATCACAAAGGTTATATATGCTATTCACATCTTATGTTTGATGTCGTTGCAATCTGCCACATTTTTATAGTGGTCACAGACATCCACAATTGATGCTACGCTTGTCTAAGACTAGTTACACTCAATTAAGTCACATATTATACATGTCGTTAACATTCCTCTGCACAATGTTATTGAATTTGACACATATGTTACCACAATTGATTCGGTCCCTGAAAATTTGACTACAAAAAAATTTCGGATCTTATATGATGATGCTAAATGCGAAAAATTAGTAGTGAACGAAATAATTGGGCCAATGCCTGGATTGAATGTCAATTTCTCCAAACCGATTCCAAATCTGTGACAAGAAACTATCAATGTCAATGACATCAATCAATTCATATATGAATAGCGAATGTACAATTACCTGATTTTTTCTTATTCGACTGCTGAATTAAGGTTCTACAGTGACTGGATTGAAATTATTCTGGATGTTTAATTTTTGATGAAGATTTTGTAGTGGTAGAGCCTTGTTGTTGATGGAAACTACGCGGGATTATAGAAAAGTTACGTGTGTGTATATATATATATATATACACAC